GCCCCAACCCAGCTTTGTGTTCCTTTAGGAGAGTGGATCTAGTTTGGGTCATTGCAATAATGTGGATTCTTGGGGAAGCCCTTCTCACCCATCGGCTGTTTTCTCCCAACGAAGCCAACAAGGAAAGATGCTTCCAGAGGCTGGGAGAGAGGCTGGGAAGCACCTTACCGTGGGGGCTGTTGACAAATTTAACTGCTGGTAATCTGCCCTGCACCTACACCTAAGGTCATCACGACCTTAAAAAGTAAAAATGTTTTCTAAATTAAAAAAAATTATTTTTATTGTGTGTAACTGTGATGTAGGCCAGAGATGGAGGGGGTTGGGTGGGCGCGGTGAGAGGATTCACCAGAGTGGGGAAAAGAACAGGCAGATGGACTGAATGTACTGTGGAGCAGTGGGCCAGACAGGAGAGGTCTGCTGAGCCATGTGGGTCACCTCCCTGGGAGCAAATTCAGTGCTGCAGAGGCTGGTGATAGCTTCCTAGTGCTGACTTAACCCCTCAAGCCACCAGGAACCCCACCCCCACCCCCTCCTTTTTAAGTCTTACATATAGGCCTTAAATCCATGTTGGGTTTTGTGTATTGTGTTGCAGAAGGCCTAACTTTATTCCCAGATATCCCAATGCCATTAGGTGAGAATAACTTCTCATTTTTGATAGTCTTGAGATCATTATTATAAAGTGGTAATTTCTGGACTTTGTTCTATCCCTTTGATTCCTCCAAAAACATACTCTAAAACAGAGTATTTGATAATCACAAGTTCCCTAGCCCCAGACCCATTTCATTACAAACTACTGTCCCCCTACCAACGTTCTGAGGATGAGCTGAAGTTGAAAGCTATCAGTATGCTTCATGCATTTGTTTTCCAAGCTTAGATAAACACCTGGATGTTTACAGGAACTTAATGGTCACAGGATGTGAGGATACATGGAGGTCTATTCTATGCCAGTGAAACTTGGCAGCTGAATGGTTGAGCTCAACACAATTTTTGGGAATTGTCAATCATTATCTTCTAGAAGGCTCAGAATTTTTAAGGCCTTGATCTTTTCCTGTAATTTTAATTATAAAATGCTGCTATAGACAGGTCTTAACCTATTGAAGACAGGGCTAGGCTGAGACACAGAACCTGTGAAATATAAACACCTTGTTTGCCATTTTCTCTCAGGACCGTTATACAATGGTCACTAGAACTAGTATTTTGTGATTGATCATGCGGCACTAATTTAAGATCCAAACCTGGACAGGGGGTGCTGATGGCTCACGGGGTGCAATGGGGCCTCGGTGCAGTGAATAACATTAAGAAATGGCAATTTAAAGCTTAAGTCGACAGCGCAGAACCTTCAAATATTTAATAAGTGGCATGTCTTCGCTCTGAACATCCTTAAAAGGGACTTTGAGACAAACATGATCTTTAGTCAGGTACTTAAAATATGGGAGTTTTCATGTTCGTGTTTGTATACACGCACTGAAACACTGCGTTTGAGTCTCCACCGAAGAGCCCTGTACTGTCTCCCAACGACACCCGCCACCCACCTGCGCCATTCAGCAGGGGCTAAGCAAGTCACATGTGACTGTGACAAAACTTTGTTTGGCAAGAGAATACGATCAAACCGCCAGGAAATCGGTGGGACCGCCTCCTGCAGAGCCAACTCCTATAGGAAACAAGCCTGCACAACACCCACAGGTATATTTATTCTTAAATGCCCAAGACGACAGAATTATAAATTATCACGTGAGACCTTCGTCATTTAAAAAGTTAATGGTTTTATTGATTTGTGCCACTAAAAAGCAAGCTGTCTCAATTTATCCAAGGTGAGCGGATCACTCCTTGCTTCTGAATGAGACCTCTGGAAGCTCCCTTCGGCCTTTCCTGCCCTCAGCAGGAATGCAGGCCCAGTCTGAACCTGCTGGAAGTCAAGTTTGATACCACCAAAAAGCCATGAGGCCCGGCCCGTCTTGCTGCTGATGCAGGGAGCCCTTAAAGGCATCCTGACAAGCTGTAGGGATGTCTGAGCAAACCCGAGTAATGAAGCTTGTGCAGCTAAGTGGTTTATTTTGTGAGCACACGTGGTGACAGATGTGACATACACTCACTATGGTGCCTCGCATCATGTATAAATGCTACCCGAAGTGAATGTCACTCACACCTCAACTCAGTACAACCAGAAGAAATGAAGTCACATCCCTGGCATTCAAGTAAAGCCAATATGGAATGCCAAAGGTATACTCAAAGCAAATGTCCATTTTAGTAATAAAAGTACAACCACAGAGAAACACTGTATTTCCCCTCTGTTATATTAAATACACAAAAGAGCAATTAGAAAATGGATTTACTTCAAACTACTGGTTCTCACACTCAGGAACACACATCAGAGACGCGCAGAGGTCTGACACTAGGTTTAAGTTCGGGTCTCGCGCAGAGAGGGCTACAGGGGTCACGACAGGTATGTTAAAAGCCCTGTGGGTAGCTCCTACGCTGCTCCCCCCGGCGGAGTTACTGATTTGAGGGCACTTTGGGCTTTTTGGTAGATTGTTTGGGGGTTTGGTTTTTTTTGGCAGATTTACTGGGAGTAGCGAAGAATTTGGCCTCCGGCTTTTTGGGAGTTGGTCTTGGGTCTTTTTTCCCCATCGGAGTGCTTCTTTCTTTCTCTGCTGCTTCTTTAACAATTTTCGGCTTCTTCCCCGGGCCTTTCCCCAAGGTTTTGGGCTCTTCGGCTTTCGGGGTCTCCACAGCAGAAACAGCCTTTCTCTTTTTCCCTCGAGGTGTATTGGGACCAGGACTCTTTTTCTTAGACTTCTTTCCTGTGGCCTGCTTTTGCATCTAGAAAAAGAAAATTAAATAAGCCCAGGGGAGAAAAATGAAAGCAAATGACAATGTTACTGTTATTAAGTAACTCCCAAAAGGTTCACCTCAGCAGGCGCAAAGGAGGAAGGCAATGAACTCTGTTCACAGAAGTCAGTTACAAAGACAAAACACAGTCAGAACTTTGTTTTTGAGTAGAGAGAAAATGACAGACCATGAAAAGTTTGAAAAACTTTAAAAACTAAAGTCCTCAATAACTGCGATATAGACTGTAATTTACAGCTTCCCTTATGTCTGTATTTATAAGCCAAATATCGTGTCTTCTTCCTAATTGCATGGGTATTTCCTATGCACTGTAAATTCTAAACATTATTTTGAGTAACTTTATAGAAATCACTGTGAAGACAAGTCACTCTCCCGCTCTGGCTGACACCACGAATGAAGCTTTCACATGCTACCTACCTGACCCACTTCCCAGGTGTGCCCACAGGGCACCAAATATGCCTGCGGCTCCTAACCTCACCCATCACCTGCTTCCCACCCACATGGCCGAAAGGACAGGCCCCGTCTCCCAGAATTCTGACTTTGTTTGGCCAAGTCTCCCTCAAGTCCCACGGCATGTAGAAGGAGGTGTTTACTTGCTGTCACTCCCACTTAGAAGCCACTGAGTATTCATGCTGTCTGCAGGCTGGGGCTGGCGGGAGCAGTTTTCATCTATTATGTCAAAATCTCTATTACAAAAGGTTTCACTTGAAACAGATTTATGCAAACACCCCCCACCACTGCCAGCCGGACACACTGGCCCCTGCGTTAACCCCGTCAGAGCAAAGTATTAGCGAATGTACCTCTCCGTTTTCTTTAACAGGCGTTTCCCCGATTGGTACCAGTACTGGGATCTCTTCTTCTGATTCGCCCTGCACTTTCAGTGCAGCCTTCCCTGCACCCGTCTTCTTCTTGTTGCGCTTTGGGGTCCCTGCCTTCTGGGGCTTAGGGCCCTTTGCTGGAGTGCCGCTGGCCTTAGGGGCCTCCTCAGCTTTAGTTAGGGCCGCAGGAGCGTCAGCAGCCTCTTTCTCAAGCCGCTTCTTTTGCAGATATTCTTTTCGCCTTTGTTGCTTTCTTGCTTCCTACCAAAAGAAAAAGCAAAGATAATTTGAGTCGGGGTACCTGGTGTACCTGGCACCTGCAGCTCTCATCATCCCTATGCTCCCTGAAAGGGCCTCGATGTGTGACGCTCTGAGCAACCCCCTCCACCCTGCACTGCCACCAAACTCTGTTTTGCCTAAGTCAGAGTCAGGGGCACGCTCCGTGGCTGTACCCAGATTCAGAAATCTGCCCATCTGAAGTAGTCAGTTTCGTCGCTGGCCTCATTTACAGATAAATGAACAACAGTCCTACACTTTCAGCCTGTGGTAAGAATTACATTTTGGTAAAGCTGCTATAAAAACCTAACAGAAAGCCCCAACCTCTCGCAGGCTGCAGCTGAAAGTCAACAGTTAGGGCTGGAGCGTGGGCATAAATAGGGAATTCAAATCCCTGTCCCCCCACAGTGCAGATTCCAACAAGGGCCCCTGGTTCACCCCAGGTAGAGCTAAAAAGGAAGCCACGACGAGGGTTTGCTTTGAGTCACTCGGGGAACCTCAAGATTCCTTCCGGTGGCCCGTGGCTGATTGCCCCTAAGAGGGAAATGTCAGTCCTCTGGAGAAAGGGCTTTTCCTGCCTCTAATGCTAGTTTTTCAAATGAAATGGCCACCCTGCGCCAAAGGTCGCCCAGCAGAGAGGAACTAGCACGGGGAAGCCCCAGCCGAAGCAGCGTCTGACTGCAGGGTGGCCGCAGTACAGCCCGCTCCCCACACGCCGAGTAGTAAGAGGCTCTCAGGCACTCCGAGCGCAACGAGGTGCCTGTGAGTCCGAGCACCCACACCCTGGCCCTAAGTAACATCACCCAGTAAAAGGTGCTTCTCTACCCACGGCACTGCTCCTGCTACGGTCAATCAATCCTTTGAAAAGAAATGAAAATTTGGGCCTCACTGGTGGCGCAGCGGGTTGGAGCGCAGCACTGCGAAGCTGGCCGTGGCCGCTTGGGTATGAGTTCAATCTCTGGCCAGGGGGTGACCCACAGGGTACGGCAGACCCCTCCTGTCCCGGCAGCTGCTCCCCTCAGTGGTGTACTCGTGGATCTGCCTGTTCTGCTCCCCACTGTCTCTGGTGAACCCTCTTACCCCTGCAGCTCTGGCCTGTACCCCAGTTCTGTATGCACAAATAAAATCTTAAAAAATGAAAACCAACACCACTGGCATGCCCCCCTCCCCCAGACTTGGCCCATCTCCAGCTCTCGCGGATCTCCGCCAGCCCAGTTCCACTGGCCAAAGGAAACCTGAGAGGACCATGTGCTTTTACGACGGACTGGCAGCGAAGTCCTCTCTTCTTGGGGCTAGGTTTACATCCTGAATTAAGCACACCCAGGACTTCAAAGCCCACTAACCTTTTTCTTTTGGCTAGGAGTGCGCACTCCTTTGGCTTCGTCCTGAACACTGACAAATGAAGAAAAGATGGGAAGAGAAGCAGACCTTTCCGTTTTCACATACAAGAGTTTCACGCTCTCCCACTTCTGAAAGACAGAGAATAACACGATCACACGCGTTCGCTCTCTTCTACATGAATGAGCGATGCTGCTGCTCCGAGACCGTACCTCTGGCAACTTCTGTGCGAGCCCCTTGGTGACCGCCATGATGTTTTTGATGATGTGCGGAGCCTGCATTCCAGTGTGGCCGACGCGGATCGCACTGAAATCAAACACGAGGGAAGAAGATGCTAAGTACACTTACGCTGCACAGCCAGGCGTAGGCACGCAAGACTTACAGATGCACAGCCCTAGAGTTCCTAAAACAGTAAAGTCCTCGGGCCTTGAGTTTATTGTATTCATTGGCTCATTTCCTTACAAGGCCGTTCTGAGCACATGGGAAAGGCGGACCACCCAGAAACGCGCTTCTCCTGACCTGCCGACCACGACGAGGTGGTGAGGAGCTGGTTGGTGCAAAGCTGGGAGGGTCAGTGAGCAGGGAAGGGGGAGCTCGAGCTCCACTCAATAAACAGGCCACTCTCTGAGGGCAACTGCTCCTGGGAGCGGGTCCTGGGGACTAGCATGAGGAGTTTGCCACCCCCTTTTGGCATCCCGCTGCTCTGACCTAGCCACCACCGAAGCAAGCATCCCTGCTCCTCATTGTAACGGTCTGCTGGCGAGCAGGAAGCCCGAGTGCCCGGTGCTCAGCCAGCGGGCCCATGTGCCTGGGTCAGCCCCTGCCTCCCTGCCATGGAGCTAAAAGGCAGGGCAACCGCCGGCTGGGCAGTCTCCAAATGAGGGGTGGGCTGGGTGGATGGCTCTGCCCACTGCGTGCCCTTTGCCACCTGCCTACAAGCACACTCACGGTAAGATGGCAAGGGGGAGAGGGAGGGAAAGAAAACAGCGGGGGCAGGAGGTGCAGAGGAAACTGATTTCCATACAGCAGTTCTACCAAACAGCCCCAATCTAGAGAACTGATGTCCAAAGAACAGAAAGATCTAGTTCTGTTACCATTTCTGTGTAGAAAAGTTTCTAAAACCATTATTAAATATAATATTAGGGGCCTCCCTGGTGGCACAAGGGGTTAAGTCTCAGCACCATGAAGCTACTGGCAGCCACGGCAGACCTCTCCCGACCCGCCCGCTGCTCCCCTCAGCAGTGCACTTCCTCGATCTGCCTGTTCTGCTCCCCGCTCTGTCTCCGGTGAATCCTTTCACCTCTGGCCTATACCTTGGTTCTCGAATGCATAAATACATCTTTAAAATATAAATAAAACATTAAATTCTGCCTTTCACCCACCTGCAAGAACCACTTTTAGAGATGTTTAGGACAGTTCCTCCTATAGATTCATTGATCTCTTTGGATAAATTCTTGGCCAGTAGGTTTACAGGCACTGGAAATCTGCAAAAACACACAGACACTCATAGCACAGTGTAACACCAATAAATGTCATGCTGCTTATATCACGTCATCGCGAAGAAACGTACTTCTTTCTGTGGTAGAAATGTCTCCCCAGGTGTGTGGGCAAAAGCCGCCTAATTCTTGCATCAGTGAGGAAGAAGTCAAAGCTAGTCAAGAGGCGGCGCTTGGCTTCGTAGGCTTTATACTCTGTTTTTAAAGTTCGAAAGGGAATAATCTAGAAGAGAGAAGTAAAAACACAAACGTCAGAATCTAAACAAGAACTACCTGAGCAACAACCTGTATTCAGGTTTGAAAGCAGCTGAGCACGCAGTGACTGCATGCCTGACTGGGCCTGGCGCTGGGAGACCAGAGGCGAGACCTCAGCCTGTCCACCACACGGGCTACAGAGCAGGGTGGGGTGCCTGTCCACCCAGACCTTGCGAGCACACAGCCATGGCCGAGCGGAGCGACCTTTTGTCAAATCTTCAAGATGTAAAAGCCACTGATGCACATACTGATCTTTTAGGTCAACAGAACTGAAAAGCACATCCCTGACTAAGGAAGGTAGGGAGCACTCTCCTGAGACAACGAGTGGGAATTACAGAGAAAATTAAAGCTTAAACACCTGGGAGAATGATCAGGACACAGAAATGTACTACTTATCACTTCAAGGGAGTCACATCTTTCGACTGACTTGAAAACAGTTAACTTGCTCAGTACCTGAGAAACAGTCTTAATTCCATGCTTGTTCAAAAGCTTCCTATAAAAACCTTCCGTTTTCTCAGGAGTTGAATCGGGTTCATCCTTGGTAAATAAACAAACGTCTGCTAAATCTGATCGAATACTATGAGGCAAAGGTCTGCAAAACACAAGAGAAGGAAACAAAGAATAAGGCATTATAGACAAAATGTATGTGTATAACCCTCAGAACACAAACCAAATTCACTATCGTTTCAAGAGGCTTTGTGCTATTTAAGTACCCTGAGAACACTGATATATCACTATTTGGGACACAAAAGTTAAGATACAAAGACCCCCCCAAGAAAGAGTGTACATACAGTTATTAAAGGTTTAATATGTGTACATGTACTAGAATGTGCTATGATAATCTAGTTTCATCAAGACAGTGGTTTAGAACTTTAAGTCGTAGAGAACTCTGGGCTCTATCAACAACCTCACTGTTGAGATAAAACCGAAAACAAAGAACCAAGAGGAGCCAACAAATATAAGGTGACTATATGTTGAGCCTTAAAAAGGAAAAAAGGTTTTAGCTCATTTCCTAAAGAAGCACCAGGCACGAGGCCACATGGAAACACATCCTTGGTTAAGCAGAAGGCAGTGAATAGTAGCATAGCCACCCCCCAACGAGAAGGTAAGACAGTTCCAGAATCCAAGAGGCAGGAAAAGATCCCAGAGAACGCAAAAGGGGTTTCCAGAGGGAAAACACGTGGAACAAGACTGCGTGCGGGATACACAGTCATCACTAAAGTTGTGTGGCTGGGGCAGGTGCTCGAAATCAGGTGGGAGAAACCTCTTCCTAATCATTCTCACCCGCATAACCCACCTTGGGCAGCAGAAAAGAAACAAGCTCCTCTACAAACAGTAGGGGAGTAGGTGCTTTGGCACTGAGGAACTAAGAGACTCCAGAGAGGTAGGAATGCCAGAAAGAAAAACCAAGTTAGTTGGGATCATTTTTAAAAATATAACTAAGCTCCAAATATGCCACAGGACCTACTTACACTAAATCACTATTACTTTTTAATCTGCTGAGCCTGTAAGTATACAAAAGAGGGCACCTCAGACTTAAGGTTTCTGGTAACAAAAACATTAACTGCCAAGTTTTCACAAAGCACTCATTTATGGCCAAGTGTCCAATAATCTGTACAAAGAACAAATCTTGGGGAATTTGGAACTAATGACAAGGACGGCTAACAGATTCTATCAAGATACAAAGACCATGTGACTTATTCTACCTTGGTTCTCCAAAACCAGGTTTTTGGATTTAAGAACTGCTTAGCTTAACTGTCCATCACGCCCCCAGAAAACTGGAGAAATTTCTAGAAATTTTAAACACTCCCTATGGCTTTTTAAAGCTTGTATATTTATTTCAATTTGAGATTTTATTTGCAAACTTTCCATCAGCAATAAGTTACACAGAATGAGCGAGCAAATAAAAACAGCAAAGGCAAAAGATCAGAACTTACAATCTGACCCTCAGTTCTTTACTTGGAATTTTCCATAAGACCACCATTAAAAAGAAATTTTCATTTTCATTCAGGAGCAAGCCATCAGCATTCTTCCTGGTCTTGGTATGTGTCAACAGAACTTCCACTGCCTTTTTAATCTGCAGAGTAAAGGTAACACAAGTTTCAACCTAATTTCGCATTTGCTTCCTCCCAAGCACTTTTTTTTTTCTTTCAATTTTTTCCTGCAGCTTTAAAATTATCTAATTTTAATTAAATATAGCTAATTAACAGATAATTATAAATAATTATTAGAAATTACATACAAAGTGATAAATTGTCACACAATCATATTCTTTATTACTTTTTTTAATATAGTTTATTTTTACATCATTTTGTTTTTCCATCTCAGTTGCAACCCCCTTGGGCTTCCCATCATCAAATCACCCATGTGCCATCACCATAGTCCAGTGCATTTCCTTCCTCCCCGCCCCCCGCTGTTTCCTTCCAATTTTTAAATCGGCAATCAAACGAAAAGCAATGAACCGAAAAGCGTCTCTACATAAAACACTGTTCTCGATGGTAACGTGCTGGTCTTGCATTCAAAGAAAGCCGAAATCCCAGGGAAAAAGCGCAAGACACGGGCAAATAACTAACGTTTACTAAGCCAGGCCCCGAGCGGGAGGGCGGCCCTTATCTTCCCACCGACCCATCCGGGGGCGCGGGGGGGCAGCAGAACCCTCTCTAAGTAAAAGATAACAGGAGCTTGCAAAATAAAGCGACTTCGCCGACATCAACAGGAAGCGTTCGCACCCCAAGGAAGCAGCCCTGCACCCCAAGTTATACCTGCAGTCCGTTACAAGGGCCAGGCCGCAGGCCTGGGAGAAGCGGGCGCCTCCCCCGCTGTAAACCAGCAGGCAGCCTGGGCTCAACCCCCGGGAGCCTCCCAAACCCCGGGCGACCACCGAGACGCGGAGCTCACCGCGGGTCCAGGCCGCGCACGCCGCACCGCGCGCCTCACCAGGCCGCGGCCATCCCGCTTCCGAAGCCTCGGGGGCCACTCACCTGCTCTTCGTCCAACTGCTCCAGGGCCGTCGGGGTCTCTGGAGTCGACGTTGACGTTGCGGTTGCGGTGGCTGCAGCGGTCGAAGCCGGGGCCTCCATTTCTCCCTCACCTCGTGCAGATGCGCGTGCAGAGACCTGCAGCTGGATCCTGGTGCGCACGCGCGAGCCGTGGCCGGAAGCCGGGCTACGTCCTTACGTCACTTCCTGGCGGGCGTGCCCGGCGTCTGGGCGTTGCGCGGCGGCGCATTTGGCGCGCGCGAACAAACTGTTGGGGCCGATTAGTGCCCAAGCTGCGTCTCTCTCTCGGGCTCGCTGTTTCCGGGAGACGGAGGGAGTAGCCTCTCCCTCGGGTGAAATGGAGCGGGCGCCGGGGGTCGGGAGAGGAGTCCCGTCCGCTTTCCCGGGGGGGGGGCCACCGGCCTCGGCGTCCCTGCCTAGGGCCGGCCGCCCCGGGACAGCGAGAGCCCGGTGCCCGCCACCCGCCTGCCGGGACACCCGAGGGCCCATCCACGGGGCCCGCGATTCGGGCGGAGGCAGCCGCCCAGCGCCGGGGAGCAGCTATAATTTTTAAAAAAAGATTTATTTATCTATGCATACAGAGCTGGGGTACAGCCCAGAGGTGCAGGGGCGTTGAGAGGATTCACCAGAGACAGAGTCGGGAGCAGAACTGGCAGATCGATGAAGTACCCTGCTGAGGGGAGCAGCGCCGTGCTGGAGAGGCCTGCTGCTCAGGGGCGGGGATCACTCGTAATGAAGTGGCTTTAGCTTCTCAGTGCTGGCTTTAACCGCCGCGCCACCAGGGAGGGCCGCTATAGAAATTTTTTAGCGAGGGAAGCATGGGCGGAGGAGGCTGCACCTGTCCGGTGTTTTCCAAGGTGCACCTGGTCGCCAGAGCCGGGTGGCGAGGCGGGCCGGCTGCTAGTCGCCAAGGAGTGGCCTTGGCCAGCAGCTTGCAGACAAGCATTCCCCAAGTCGTGTGCTCCTGCTTCCACTGGTCGCTTCTGGATTCTAGTGTAGGTTGGAATTCGTGTTAGCACGATGTTATAAACGAGTGCCTGCTTCCAACGTCAGCTGTTTTCTAGTGAACTCTGGTAGTCTGAAAAGAGCTTCGGCCCTGTTAGCACTCTGACTTCTGGGCCCAGCAGACAGCCTGAACTCGGTGAGAGAGCTCTGGGTGTCTGGGAGCACAAGTCTCTGCAGGGCGGGTGGGAGGGGACAAGTGGGAACTGAGCCCAGGAGGATAGGTTAGGGATTTTGTCCACTGTTAAGCCGAGGATTTGTATTTTGGGGATACACAGTTTTCCAACTGGAGGTGCTGAAGAGGAGGTAGTGCTGAGTTGTGCTTCAGGAGCGTTAATCTGGCCATCTTAAAGGTGAGTCACGTGCCCGGGTTCTGACACTAGTGATGGAGCTTCATTTCCTCCCCGACCCCCCACCCCCCACAGGCTTAGGGCTTCTGTGGAACAATATGTCAGCCAGCGCGTCTCAGGGTGGGTTACAGAAAGACTAGTCTCCACCTGGCCCGCCCCTTAGGCCAGGTGACCTGCCAACACCATCAGGTGAGCTGAAAGTGGATCTTTCCTCAGCAGAAGCTGCAGTGACTGCATACCTGTGAGACCTGCGCAGGAATCGTCTGGCTGCCTACTCCCAGACGCCTGCCCCACACAAACTGTGAGGTATGCTTTCCAGCTTAGCCGCTAAGTTTGGGAGAAGTTATTCTCCGATAGTTAACTCATAGGGAATTCTAGACCTTCCCTCTTTAACAGCCGCATACCTAACAGACGTCTGTGTTTTCTGACTGTGATTGGCATCCGCCAACTGCCATATTGCCCAAGCCAGAGTTTGGGAGTCATCCTTAACACTCACCTCCCAGGTCTATTCGGTGGTAAAGCCTTCGTTGTTTCTTTTAAATAACTCTTGGGCTTAGTTCCTTTTTATCCCTTCCACCTTGTCGTTCAGGCCATCAGATTTTCCCTAGACCACTTCAGCACCTCCTCACTTGTCTTCCCACTTCCAGTTTCTCTCAGTCATCCTCTCCCCTTCCACTAGAATAGTCTTTGTAAAGTGCAAGTCTGATAGCAGATCTGATTATGCTTACCCACCCCTTTGGATTATTATTGTCATTGAGGTGGGGTGCACATTCTAAGATTTGTGTCCTATGTATCCAAGTTTACAGCCACTGTCTGATATTCAAGCTCATTTATCATTTGTCCTGGAAAAAAGTGTCTTGGTTTGAAAAGTAAATTATATGATCATCATCCTTGATAGGTTAGACGCTTCTATCTGCTCCCTTCTGGTCACAGCTCCTTAACTTCACAGCTGTCACACACCCCTTCAGTCTTTAGATTAGATCCTGGTTTTATCTCTGCGGTTTCCACTTCATACCTTCTAATTTGCTCTAACTTCGTCCTGGAACGCATCACCTTCATAGGTGCTCTACCATAATTCATTTTTCCTCTTGGCCCTCCCTGGTGGCCCAGTGGTCCAAGGGGTTAGAACGCAGCTCTATGGAGCTGTTCGCAGCTACTGCAGCACGAGTTCCATCCCCGCCAGGGAGTGACCCACAGGGCACAGCAGACCTCTCCTGTCTCCCTGCTGCTCCCCGCAGCAGGGTTTTTCAGTACATCTACCTGTTTTGCTCCCCACTCTTGTCTCTGGAGAATCCTCTCACTGCCCCTGCACCTCTGACCTGTACCCCAGTTCTTGTATGCACAGATAATAATTTTTAAAAAAAATTTCCCTCTTTGAGGATAAGCTCTGAGAGGGTAGGGGAGAGCCATGTAATGGTAGAATGACTACAGATATATCTTCACTGTTTTATAGCACCTAGCTCATATATAATATACTTTGTATTTTTTTGAAGAATGAATGGGTTCTAAGACTTCCCAAATCCATTCTAGATTTGGATTTCTTACAATGTCCTGAGGTAGTGCTTATGTTGAGGAGCATAGGAAATATGGTTTTTCTAAGTATTGAGGGTTGATATAAGAGTACTAACTCTGAGGACAAAATATAAGACTTGACCAAAAATTGGGTATATAAAGAGGGAACCTCAGATTACCCTTAAATTCTGTTAACAGAGCAAATGGTTAGTGGTGTTGCTATAACTTAGGGAAGGCAGGAGGAGCATTAGATTGGAAGGAAAATAAGTTGTTTTTTTTTTTCAAATTTGAAGTTCCAGTGGTACATCTGTGTGGATCTGGAACATGGAAAAGAAGGTTCCTGATGTAGAGAATGAAATTGGAAGCCATGGAGGTTAAAAAGCTGTGGAAATATATGACTTTGCAAAAAGTAGTATAGAGAAAGAATAAGACTATGGAGAAATTCTCAGTTAGAGAACAGGAGGGGAAAGAGCCACTATGAGAGAAATAATTGAGAATGTGGAAGAAAACCACGAGGGTGGCAGCGTACTAATCACCAAACACTGAAGCCTGAGGCGGCATCCTGATAGGCATGTGGTTGGACACCTGGGCGCAGACCTCAGAGATAGCAATTTCAGTGAAAGAATTGTGGGGAATGTAAAGGATACCAGGAAAATGGAACATTGGTCTATCTTTACCGTCAAGGCACTTGAGTGATGTTTTTTGTCCCAGGAAATTTTTTGTATTATCACTTTTGGAGGATACTGTGTATAACAGCACTTACCTCTGTAACATTTGTTGAATTGCTTGTTAGTTAGCATACTTGGTTTTCACACAAATTGAACCTCACAGCAGCCATGTGTAGGCTGCTGCCATAGTAACAAGTTTACAAGTTGACCTGTTTGTAATAAATACTGTTAAGAACTTAGTTGACTTAAAACTACCTGTTCTTGAACCCCAGTCCTTATATGCATAAATAAATAAATCTTAAAAAAAAAAACTTGGATGATTTAAGTATATTGAATGGTAATGAGAAGAATGTCTGATACTAGTGTTTTATCCAGCTGCGACCATAACTTTGTTTCCTCTACTGAGTTCTCTGAGGGCCAGAACTAAGGTTTACATTTTTTTTTTAAAGACTTATTTACTTACACATATAAGAGCTGAGGTTTAGGCCAAAGGTGCAGACGGTGAGAGGACCAGATAGTGGGGAGCAGAACAGGCGGTCTACTGAGATGCACTGCTGATGGAAGCAGTGGGGAGAAAGGAGAGGCCTGCTGCGCTCTGGGGGCCGGCTCCCTGGCTAGGGATCAAATTCCTGAGCAGTAGCTGCAGACAGCTGCAACGAGTTAACCCGTTGGGAGGCTTGCCTGCCATGTGGGGGTCACATACTTACTGCCTCCTTGAGACTGCTCCAAACTTACCGTTTTCGGTAGCTTTCTGCTTCACATGTGCTCTTTTTAAGACCTAGTGCCACACCGCTGCTCCTCCCGTTTTTCTTTTTCTTTGCCTTTTCGTCTATTCTGTCGTAGTCAGGTGTCTTAGACTTCAGTTCCATTCCAGTTCCTTACAGTCTGGTTCCAGTCACACTGTTTCTGTTCTCTGAAGTCAGTACCTACATACTTTTTTTAACAAAGTCTAGTGGTCTTTCAAAAACCCTCATTCAGCTTTGCCTGTTAAATATGAACCCATTCTCATGATTCAGTGAAATTCCTAAGGCATTTATCCTACCTTAGTTCTGGTGCCTGGAGCTGTTCTCTGCCCACCTGTGGCTAGGCTGGTGCTTCTTTCCCAAGCTCTCTCTCTTCCCCAGGGCAGCAGCTTTCTGCCTGCCTGTGACCTGTACCCTTCTTCCATTGCCTCAGCAAAAGCAGCTCTCCTCAGGGCCATCTGCCTGCCACCATGCAGGCCTCTCAGCAAACCTGTGCCTTTGGGGCAGCTCTTTCTGCCCTCTTGTGTCTATGCAAGCGTCCTTTATTCTTCTCTGCCCTTTGGGATATTAAAAGTTTGTCCCTAGTATTTATTAAAACTAGATTACAATTCCTGACCACCTGTTTTAAATTTGGACTCTGCATTTGTAGAAATGTATTCCTTAGTGTTAAACTTTTGGATTTATGCTAGGAAACAGCTTTTCTCCAATTAATCTTGTAGAACAAACCTGGAAAATGAATCCTTATTTCAACATTACTCCAGTTTTCTGAGTAAATATTTCATGCATGAATTAAGTAACTTAAATATTTTTAGAACTATCATTTCTTTTTAGAACTTTTAAAGCAAGGTATGTTGAACACACTATTGTTAGATTACATGTTATCTATTTGTTCTTTATTCACTAAAGGTAATGAACTTTTAAACATGAAATATAGTAGTTGACAGCCAAAATAAAGGAGAGTGAGTTAAGCAGGACTTAAATGTAATTTAAGTATCCTGAACCAAGTGTGTGAATTAATTTAAAAATTAATATGCAATATAACATTTTGGGAATAAATAGTAGACATTCTAATAAAACAACTGTAAAATTTTGTGCTATAATGGTGTATTTTCCAGGGAAATAAATATGGTGAGATTGCTTTTGCTCTAAGTAATTTGTATGGTAATTGTAATTATTTGTCCAGCCCTTTCAGAGGATTGTACTTTTTCAATCAAAACAGGTGAAACGTCATCTGAAACTCAAGTATAATCAGAATAAAGAATGCAAAAACCTCTGTGGCTAACCTATTACTAATAGATTTTTATTTCTAGTAGCCTGACTCAACTCAAACCAGAGTTTGTCTTAAACATGCAAAATAAGCTCTTATAAATCATGAAAGAATTTGGCTTATTCTTAATGTATTTGGGTGTGATTATTTTGTTGAAGTACGATGTTTAAGTTTACTATGAGCAGTGGGAAAATATGAAACACTAATTGTGTCCTAATGGACATGGACAGTAAAAGCTTTTTGTCTAGTTTTTAACAGAAGGAATATAGCAAATATTTAAATAACAAGATGTATATACTCATTAGCTACAGGTTTTTTTCTCTCAGGTTCTCATTTCTAACAAAAGACAGGAAAACTTCATGCAAGAAATTTGGATATACAAAGCCTTCAGAAAGAATTTAAGGGTATATTCTGGTAACAGAAATTTCACTTTAGGAACACATTGAACTCAAGAGGGCAGATAGAAGGTACAAGTTGATGTTCTAACAGTGTTTTCAGATTCTTCATATGGAATCCATATGGCCATAAAGGCCGGTAGCATCCCTAACTTACTGTAGGGGATGCTGATGTGTGTAGTATTTGGTACAAAGGCCTTGCCTACCACATGCAGACTACACATTTTTAAACCCCTTATACAATGGTGGTTATTGAGTGCAAGCAATCCACCAGATCTGCAGTTAGGTGGTCCTAATGCTTGATACAGAAACACTGGGTAGTAGTATAAATAAAGAGACCAGTCCTTCAAAAGGGAAGATGACAATTTTTATTGTTATTACAAAAGCAGATTTTTTAGTTTCAGTCATTTGAGTAATTGCAAGAGCAGACTAAGGGCTTAATCCTCACACAGGCACCAAGTCAGGCACAGTAGGTAGCTACAAATCATAAGAAAAAGGCTTTTTTACCTTGGGTTTCCATAATTCCTATTGAGGGCATTCTGCCATGCTTTGGAATTTGGTTTAAAAAAAAAAAATCAAACCTAGTCAGTTCCCTTTGTGTTGTTTTTTATTATTTTTAAAAATGAGAGCTAGGTAGTAACCTGCTGTTTAGCAAAAACTAGTCACTAAATCCTGGCTTAAGAGATCCACATTTCCTTTAGAACCAATAGAAGAAACTAACTGCTATCTGCTATCAATTTCTGAGAGCTCAATGTGAGTCCTGAAATGCAGACCTTCCAGGCCGACCTGTTTCCCCTAATGCATGCGATGGTCACCTGAGTGCAGGAGCGTTGGCTCCAGCAAACTTCCCGGGCAGCAGGAAAGGAGGTAGCGGGGACTTGGGCTGACATCTGAAGCACTAAACTAATGTGCCTGGCAGAGAACCTCAGGAAGCACAAAATGTCGTTCCACCTTGGCTGTTTACAGACCTGAGGTTTCCACATTAAGTTTTGAAGGGCACAGTTGGCATGTGTGACAAGGCAGAAAAGACAGTTATCATCCCAAGGATTGCCTAAGAAATTCTAAATTTCTGCCCGATCAGACAAGGTGCCTATCTTTTTTTTCCCTTATGTTGGAGAATATGAAGGTTTAATCTCCATTCCTACATATCCAGGCCCTTACAACATTCCTTAGTAAACAGTTTGGCTAGCGTATTACTGTTTCAAGGAAGCATAGGATTAGAGGTATGTGAAGTGTATTTATTGAAGGGAAGACACAGTATGTTCTAAGGTATTGAAAATCAACACTATTCTATAGCCAAAACCATCACAAGTGGAACCAAATCCACCCAGTCTAAATTCAGGCAGTAAATTGGTTCAGAAGGAGTCCACTGAACTACTTACAGGAAAATAAACACTTCTGTTCCTCTTATTATGAAATCTAATATAACCAACTAACTGCTAAATTTAAACTTAATGTCTTTTCAAGTTGTACATATATAATTACATTTAGTAAGTTGTTGCCATGGCAAGGTCTCTAAAGAAACAAGATCATGAATGTATGAGATGGCATCTACTGGCATCACTGAAAAAATTAGCTGGAAGACATAAGAGCCATATTATTTGGAGACAGAAAATTGTCCCCAAATCCTGTTGATTGCTATCTACCTAACATATGTCTGTGAGAGGATTAATGGCACAGTTTATTCTGATAAAGTAGGCCAACACTGGATATGATAATTAGCCATTCTACAATCAAAGCTATAGATTTTCAGAAAGGGCTTCAAGGTTGAAGGTAGCCATATGTTAAAAGCTATTATAAAAACTTGATCTGTTTCTTGACTACCTTAATTCTCTACCCAAAGCAATGAAGCTATCATCCATGAAGCAGCAGTCCATAAGGAAGTCCATGCCAATGAGGAAAGGTTCTAGAGTGCTGTCATGTGGAACAGCCATCAAAGGACATGAGGAATTAGTCGTGACTAGTGTTCCTGAAGATTGCCAGGGAGGATGGTAGGTTTTTTTTTTCAAGTTCAGCATGGGGTCATTTTTGCCCATGGGGTCACCTTTTTCTTGGGTTGCAAAACTGCATCTTGTTGAAAAACTCAAAATATCTGCAACTTCAGTTGAGAGGATACCAGTAATGGCTTGCTTGCATCATATTCAAAGTCCATCCCACATTGTAAAAGCAGTTCTTAAAGTTTATGGGAACAGGTAATTATGAATTTCCTCTTGTTACAGTGAACTTATACAAAACTTTCACATTGTTATTACATATTTTGAGACTTTCAATTCAAAACAAAGACATATACATAGGCTTGATTCATCAAGAACACTATTTGTCACTTCATGGTAATACAGCTTACATCCATCTCTTTTGGTTTGATTTTACATAGACTTTCACTGGATCATTTTGTTTTGCAATTAAAAACAGGAAATATCCCCTCACCCACACTAAAACTGGCAATTATTTCACTTCCTTTAAATTCAGTTCATTAATTTAAAAAACTAAGCATGAAAATTATAGAAAGAATATATGACTATATATTCTTTAATATATATAACCAATGTGAAAAGATGCAAAGAAAATTCTGAACCTAACATCTGCTAAAAGTAGAGGGGAAAAATGCTTTGGACATAGATTCTAAATATGAACCCAATTGCCATATTTTGCATTTACCACATACACTTGCCCTTTGAAGATGACAAAATGACAGCATAGTGATCTATTGATCTTTAAAGATCTAACATCTCTATGCACTGCCATTTCAGGTCGGGTATGTTAATTTCTTTGTCCAAATTAGCTAGCCAGTACATCTAATTGAGTTTAAAATACACCCCCTTGACTGAGAATACATCCCAAGGAATTTCAAAGCCCAAAACAGTGTTGGTTAATTTATCAATGAGATGTCTTTTAGTCTATTTCCACAGAAGTGCAAGAAGCCAGTGAAATTTTAATTTTACAATTACATTTGTAGGTTACCTTTCCCTCCCCTAATGAAGTAGGCCCTTCACAATTGATAGCCATGTGGTTTAAGAGTCTTGGCAACGTGCACATAATATTCTCAAAGTGAAATATTTTAATAGCAAACATAGCCAATTTTTAAAATATGTTCAACCTGAAAATGGAGATCTTTGGAAATAATTTCAAGACTCTTGAGCTTTTAAGGACTCAATAAAATCCAAGCAATTTCTAGTATTTTTATTAACTTAGAAACACAAAACGTTACTGAGTACTAGTCAGAGCTCCTCTATTTCCCAGAAAAATAAAAGCCCAGAGATTACAGACTTAATAAAATTTAAGTTGCATGCAATTTAATAGTCACGAGTATAGTCATAGGAAGCTACAGGACAGTAACTTTGGTTTGTCCATAAGATGTGGCCTCATTTGTGAAACAAATGGGATTCTATAGTAAGAAAATAGGACTACATTTTTTGTTTTGTTACTGGAAGCAGTCTGACTAGGCTTTTCTTTTCTGAGCAAGAAGACTATAGAGAAAGGAATTGTCATACATTTACAAAATAATCTTATTTTGAGATAAACCACAATCTGAGAGAACCCCAGTCTTGGATAAATGGCAACACCCAATAAGGAAGCTTTCTATTATCAACCCAGAAATTCTCTCAGTTCCCATTTATTCTCATCTCATTAGAATTTCAGAGTTATGATAGTTGTAGCAGAATATCAGTTGACAATCTAAAAACCACCACAATGCTTTGTGGTTCATCCAAATCATAGTTTAGCCAATTTCAACTTTACACAAGAAAAGTCAATTTCAACTAATGAAAATGTACACTGTGCTTGATTCTACTTATCACTGTTAAACTTTAGTCTGTGCAGATTCTGATGTTTCTAAAATATATGTTCACTTAATAGCTGGGTGAGCTTTAGCTTCACCAGCAGTGGTCTTCCAACCTTTAAAATTACTGATACAAATAGTAAACTGAGTAATTTGTAGAACTGGCACTTGCAATTGATAAGCTTTTCATACTAGATGCATGCAGCTCTTATAAATACTAAAGGTGTGTTTGCCACATCTCAACATGCTTTCTTTGTTGTAAATTCCACTAATTTAACAAGTCAATGAAATTTTTTGTAGGGGTCTAATTTCATTATCTTTACTTTGTAAGACATTTTGCTGTTCTTTTACTTCAAACCAACTGTATTTAAGAATCATGTTTGAATATAAATTGGCATAAAATAACTGATAGACCTAATAAAGCAGTGTCGCAGTTGCATCAAGGTATTAACTGTATGTATGCATTAACCATCAAAAGAACAGGTCAAAACTACTTTCCTTTAATACAAACTTGAACATTGTTTGTAAATGCCTCATTTAAAGTAGTGGACAGGGAGAGTTTAGAAAAGTCCAAGTAATAAAATGTATTCAATTACTTGGTAAAGTTAAAAAGCTAATGCAACAACGTTACATCCAGATAAAAAACATTATTCAAAAGCAATTCAAATACCGAAAAGGGTTTCAAATCGAATATTTTATTAACATGGTAGTTGTTTTTGAAACATGTGCACACACAACACACTCGCACACTCAGAATGATCTGCCTGGGGGTAGGGGCAGAGAGTCTAAGTATGTCTAAGGGGAAAATGAAAATAAAATTTCTGTAGGTTTTCATTATTGTAGGCAATTATGTCCACATCACTTATAAAGCTATTGCCAAATCTGTCCAAGGAAGCAGGGTGTGAAGGTGGAAGGCAGAAAAAAAATCTCGGGAAAAATTCAACAGTGGCATAGCAGAGCTCTCAATATGAGAAAGCTGACATAATGTGGACTTTTTGCTGTGAATTTTTGCAAAATATGGGGAGAGGTTTTGTCAATGGGCAGAAAATAAGAGAAGGCGGTGTGAAGTAGGCTTTTGCAGTCAATTTTCCTCACAGTATTGTGCAGGGTCATCAAGAAAATCTTAGTCTTTCTCTGGAACCAGTTTCAGAACTTTTCCAATTGCAATGGTCTTACCTAGAAATGAAATTTTTTAAAGAAACCTTTTCAGTAGTTAACAGGAAAGCAAGGCTTACTAAAGCTTATTTTAAATAATATGTCTTACAATGCAAATTACAGATTAACTGCTCTACCACCAAAGGCATGGTTGCTGATGAGGTAGCCTTAATAAGTAGGTCTTTTTTGCAGGGAACTAAAAAGAAGACATACACTTTCCTAATTTCAAAAACGTAAGTAAAATGTGCAGTTATCCATAACTCTGTAGAATAGTATTTGACAATAAAAAGGAATCACAATTCATGGATTTAATTGCCATCAATGACACTGTTGAGCCTCAGAAATGCTAGGTGAAACAATCCAGACACTAAAGGCCACAGATCCTATTTATCTTACTTATGTGGCATGTCCACACACAAATAGGGTACACCTGGGTGGCTGCTTGGACTGGAGATAGGCATGGGTGATGACAGTCCCCAGGTTAAGGGTTTCTGTTTAGATGCTCTAATATTCTAAAATAGCACTTTGTAAACATACTAAAATTAATTAAATCATACACTCTGTATCAATTACATGCTATGTAAATCGCCTCATAACTATTAAGAAGGGATCCCAGTCCTATTAGAAGCTACAAAACCCACCAGGAGCCTTGAAACATCTAAAAACTAGGCTACTCTCACAAATGATTCTGGGGCGCAGAATCCAAACTGATTTCTTTACTTGTGTCTACTTGATTTTACTAGCTAAAATGGTAACATTCTCTGCTAACAAGTGATAGTGGAAAAAAACCCAGTCACTTCACTATCACTAAGAAGAATTTTAAACTAAGTGCGGATGCTGTACGCACCATTGTATTCCCACTGCTTACCTAGCACAGTTCCTGACATTCAGCAGATGCCTTTTTTTTTTTTTCTGAATAGAATTGGAACATGAAGGATTTCGACGAAATTGTAAAATTCTATGTAAGTTTTCCAGCCTTAAAATACTCGCAACTATCCAGATAAATGTACAATGAATGTCATTTTGTTTTCATGGTACTGAAGACTACAAGGCTCCCGGACAGGAGAGTCACAAAGGTACTGACTGCCCAAGAGGTAGGCAAAAGAACATAACACCGACACCTGAAAACCTAGGCGTTCAAAACATGGTCAATCTAGGTACCCATTTGTTCCTCCCACCCCATCAAATGGCAGCCAGTATTTGTCATATCTAGTTTTAAGATGTTTTCTTTTGACTACAAAAAATGATGGCTAGATGGGAGACTTGCACGGGAAAAACTTGCTGCAAGGATTAAGCTCTTCAAGATAGGCTTCAGGCATACACGTACGAAGGATTCATAGAGAAGTCTTACTTAGTAAACAAACGGTTCGCAAAGGCCTCAACTTAGAGACACAAAAATTCACACCCTTAGTATCTGATCTAGAACATTAATGCTAAAATGCAGGGTCAGTTCTGTGTGCTGTTCAGTTCAAAACATTGCCATCTGAGCATATTACGGCACATATGTGTGCTATATTTAAGTGATGAAGATCAACACCAAAGCTAATGCAGAGTGGGCATACTGTTAGTTTAGCAGAGTGGGCATACTGTTAGTTTAGAGCTTACCCTCATCCCTTAAGGTAAACCGACCCATCTGAGGGAAGTCCTTAAAGGTCTCAAGGCAGATGGTTCCCGCTGTTCTTAAACGTGCAATGCATACTTGATCTTGTTTCACGAAACGGGGCCGAGTCTTACTTTTTTCTCCTGATTTTTTGTCTACCAAGCAGATTAAGGCCTGCCCAAGAAGAAAGGGTAGATGATCAGAAAAATGTCAAGTGAGAGAACCTTTAAGAACAGAAATTCAAGTAAGAGTATCACTATTGCTATCAGATTTTATCAAGATAAAATAGTCCCCAAACAAAACCCCAATTATCTTAAAACTCACTGTTATTTCGACTTCCTCAATACAGGTATGAATATGAAGCACCGCATTATAACCCGGGCAGATGATGGATTTGTGCTCTATAATCACTATCTGTCAAACAAAAAATTCATAGCTTTATCCCTGGGGTAAAAAGAATCAAACGCTCTGAAGTGCCAAATGGTAAAAGAATATGTAAGTCATCATCTTAGTGTATCAACTTATTTTTGTGTTAGAAGTCATAGGTAAAGTTACCTGGTTTTTGAACATGAACTATGATTTCCTTCCCCAACATTCAGTCAAACTTTAAAAGTACTTTCTCTCTGGAAAGCCTTTCCGCTGTACTCCAGGGAGTTGTGTTAATCATCAGCCTACATGGTACTATTTGATATCTTTCTAGATGTAAACTTATGATACTTTTATCCATTTGTCCATAGCTAAGGTTCACTAAGAGTAAACAACCATGGATCCATCATATTCTAACTTGGTCAGTGGAAATCCTTTGTCTAAGAACTCAAAAGTTCTGTGTCCTACACCAGTTCTTTACTGTCATTCTGGAGAGATCAGTTTGCTTAGAACATGGAAAAAGTACATGCTTTACTGTAAATAAACAAGACAAACCATGATTTTCAAGGCAGCTGTGCTCTACTTAAAGACATTTTGAGTGAAATTATATATATATATAAATAATGTGTGTACATATATATAATGTATATATACATAGATGCATGTGTGTATACAGATCAACAGGAAATAAAAAATTAAAAGGAACTTGTAAAGGAACACTGCCTTCCCAGTAAGAACTTAAAACATTGAAGACCCGTGTGTGCACTAAAGTATTTGTTGTTTCAGTTTCCCTTGGACATACAATGGCATGTTACCAATAGTCAGAACAAAATAACTTGAAATTCTGACTTACAACTACTGTAACTGGTTTACCTGTGCATCAAATGTGCGTCCCGAATGACAAAGATTATTAGGATCACAAAGTATGAATCCTGGAAGAATCTCTTCCTCTTCAATTCCTTTCAGTCTGATTTTGAGATTTTCACCTGGAGCTACAGAATCAGTTTCTACATCATCAGAAAGGATTCCAAGGACTTCCACATTGTGCTTAAAAAGAAACCAAGATTGGAGGTTTTCTCACACTACATTACAAAACATAATATGACCGCAACTGTTCACTGGTGAAGACTTGGCAAGCCACATTTGTATGATATGAACTTAATGAAAATCACATCCGAGAATTATCAGCTAGGCTTGGTCATCTTTTAACTACTACCTTATAATTTTTAAATACAATTCAGCATAGGGCACTTCCCTGGTGGTGCAAGGAGTTAAGCTTCAGCACCATCAAGCTATCTGTAGCCACTGCACTGCAAGACTGATCCCCGGCCAAGGAGCTGACCCACATGGCTCAGCAGGCCTCTCCTGACTGGCCTACTGCTCCCCTCAGCCATGTATTTCAGTCAGTTTGCCTGTTCTGCTTCCCACACTGCCACTAGTGAATCCTTTCCTCCCACTCCGCCCCCAGCTCTTGTACACATAAAGTAAATCTTTAAAAAATAGTATGAATGCATCTTTTTTACTTTTTCTAATTAAAGCATTAAAGTTAACATTTGGATTTTACAGATATAACTTTGTTATGGAACACCAAGATTTGATAGACTTAATTTTCATTACTTAGCAATCCTCAAATACCTGAAGAGTGTATCTCTCCAAAGTTATTTGAATACTTAGGTTTAAAGAGCAAACCGACTACAGTAGATGCAGTTTCCTCTTGGTCATAAATTGTTCTGGAAGTAGACAGTGGTGATGGTTGTGCAATACGGTGACTGTATTAAATATCACTATGGTGTATTTTTCATATATTTCACACAATAGTTTTGTATGAAATATATTGATGGGGTATATTGTTTAAAGCTAATACCCACAGGTTTTTCCATTCCTGCCCCTGGGGATAAGTCAGATAATTAAAATAACCAGAAAACCAAGCACTCTTCAAGTAGATAAAAGGTAAGAGTCTAGCATCTATTCCATATTAGAATTCTACAATCACTTACTAAGCTCTAGTTATTTACTGCCCCCCACCTCCCATAACTGGTTTTCTTTCCCCAAAGGCAGCTTATGCCTTAGTGATACCTTTCTGTTGAAATTCAGTCCAAGAACTGAAGCCAAGCTTTTGTCAAAGTGTTTATGGCACTGGGACAAGGGGGTAGAAACTGACATTCTACCATATACAAACCAAACAAGTACTGGTGTAATGGGTTTAAAAGTGCAGCACTGCAAGTAAGACACAGCAGCTTCAGTGGGAGTTTGATCCCCGGCCTGGGAGCTGAACCACATGGCGCGGCAGGCCTCTCCTGACCCGCCCGCTGCTCCCCTCAGCAGTGTACTTCGTCCATCTGCCTGTCTGCTCCCCACTCTGTCCTTGGTGAATCCTCTCACTGTCCCTACACTTCTGGCCTGTACCCCAGTTCTGTAGGCATAATAAATAAAAAAACCTGAGAATTGGTAAGGAGGAGGGGTAGCACCTATAGAGGGTATCTGCAGCTGTAGTCACAGTGCCATCTTGTCGGAGGTACCCGGTGTAGTTCAGACAGGACTGACCCAAGTCTATGGTGTGTTTTGACATATTCCAGTAACATTACCTTTAGGGTTATACTCACGTACCAGATAACCTCAGAAATGGGCCACAAAAACAGGATGAAAAGCTACCTCGCATGAAATAGATGCAAGTTTAATCATCTCCATTTTTCTATTTCTGTACACAAACTCAAAACCACTGATTTTGTAACTATCAGGACAATATTCAGACATTTCATCACACACTGATAGTTTCTGGTACTTCTACATGGCTTCTTTTTCGGGTAGAGGAGTGAATCAGACTGCCAAGGACTCTTAAGAACCAAGAGTTTACAAGTCACCAACCTAGCTAAGTTTACATATTTATCTGCGCCACAGGCACCACAGGACAATTTCAAGTAAGTCATAATTTATAATTTTGCTCATTAAAAAACTTAATATTGCAGCCGAATTTGAACACAATTTTTTTTTGTCTTAGCCATTTTCAAATGTCAGTTGGGTAGAATCAAATACATTCATACTGTAGGGAAAAGCAATGTTCAAAATGCTGTATTCACCTCACAAACTGCAACTATCCATTAAACAAACTCCCTATTCTCCTTTCACCAACCCTAGGGCCACTGCTATCTCCAGGAATTTGACTAGGCTATACCACAAGTAAGTGGGATCTGTTGGAATCTGTCCTGTAACTGCTTATCAGCATAATTTCCTCAGGATTCATCGATGTATTCATCCACTCATCTTCAGGACAGCCAGGTTGCTTTCACCTCTTGGCTGTTGTGAATAGTGTTGCTATGACATGGGCATAAAAACATCTCAAAGACTTTTCAACTCTTAAGTATATACCCAACCCAAGTAGAACTGCTGGGTCATTAGATTATCCTGTTTAATTTTTTGAGGTTCTGTCTTTATCTGCCCTAAGCAAAGCCAATTCACCGTATCCCACTAACTTTTGTATTACCTGTTTTTTGTTAGTAGTCATCCTTACGGTTTTGATGTGTCATCTCCCTGGTTTTGATATGCATTTTCCTAGTGATTATCTCTTCCAATGTATCTTTTAAGGCTTGATATCTTTTCATGTGCTTGTGGCCATCTGTATATATCATTTGTATAGGTCTGTGTTGAATTATTCTTCACATTTTGGTCTTACCAGATTTTATGGTCTGCAGTAATCTTCTCCCATGGGTTGTTTACCCATTTTAGTTCACTGTTTAAGGTTTACTTACCTAACTATGGGTATGCTGCATCTACATGATTGGCAGAATACTGCAGCTTCAGAGGAAACAGCCACTTGGCTTGTAACCAGTGACGTGTACCTGCCGTGCCTATAGGGAGAGCCCCTCACCATGTCTACATGTTCAGTAAATTGCTCCTTTCTTTCTATTAAAGGACTCGTAACCTGAAATTCACTTCTCAAGCTTTGGCACCGTGTGCTAGCAGCGTGTGCTTGTAGTGCACACAGCCATCACCGTGCTCTAGTCCCAGCTGCCCCCCCAGCCTCGGAAGCCCAGTACTGATTAAGATTCACTCTCCATTTCTCTCCCCTCAGCTCTGGCAACAACCAACACCTGCTCTTTCCTTCTCCATGAGTGACAGGCACTTGTGACTGCTCTACAGAAAACAACTGAACCAAGGATTCAAACTGACCATTATCTTCATTCAACTGTTAATGACCTACCACAAAATATAATTTGTTAGGTACCAATTACACCTAAACACTACACTGATAATGGGTATTATTTTAAATTCACTGGGCTCATCTAGCAAAATATGTTCGAAGTTTCTGATGAGTCAGGTCTTTTTCTTAAGAAGCCCAAACAGTTTCCTAGTAATGTGTCATCTGCCCATATCAGCAGCTGAGCAGTCAAAAATAACACAAAGGTATAATTCACAGAGGTTTAGCACACATCATTTTTAATAAAACCCTCCTCAGTGATGAGAAAATTATAGTAAGGTAAAAAGAGTAAAGAAAAGATCTATTTATAGGATCCAACAAAAATACATGCAAAAAAAAAAAAGAAGGAAACCTGAGTTCTCACCCCAGGCTCACTAATTTCTTGTATTGACAAACACAAATCACCTAACCATTCCAGATTCTAATTACTTGTCTGTAAAATTACAGAGTTGAAGCTCTCTAATGCGTATTTTAATTTAAACACAATTCTAATAAAGATCCCTTCCCATTTGTCACCTAACAATTATAGCACCAACTTATGCTTTCGTTTTTTTTTTAAAAGATTTATTTATACATGTAGGAACTAGGGTAAAGGTCGGAGTTGCAGGGTAGGGGCGGTGAGAGGATTCACCAGTGGTGAGGGGAGCAACAGGAACTTCAGGAGAGTTCTGCTACCGTGTGAGTCACCTCCTCCCTGTTCAGAGATGGAACTCAGGCCATAGAGGTAATACTTCTGTGACTTAACCTCTTGGCCACCAGGGAGGTGCTCCTTTTAAAATTTGGTACTTCACATTAATCCTGGATTTTTTTAATGTTAAGTTTCTTCTCATAGAAATCCAAGCTCTTGAAAAATCCTTGCTGGTTCCTTGCTAGTATTTTCATGAAGAAAGTCTAAATGGGTAGCACACTACTAATTCTTACCTTGTTTGGCATCATCACAAGCTGCTGGCCTTTACAGATAGATCCCGATTCCAGCTTTCCCAGGACCACAGTGCCCATGTCCTGATTAAGTTTAAAATAAAAAAAAAAACAAGTCTCATATTTGTATTACTACTTTATAGTAGTTCAGCAACCCAAAGTGGAACCATGCAGGTTGTGTGCATAAAGGAAAACCATTAGCTCAAGTACAAGAATGCTCACTAAAGCATTTATCTTAACACAGGCTAGGTAACACTAGGTAATGGTTGTGTCATAAGCATAAGTACAATTATGAAACTAAATATGCCTAATACTTGGGTAAAAAATATGGTACAGGTGACAGCACAGATTTGTTCAAATTCAGGACTTTTTCACCTAAGCCTGTTTCTTCCTATATATAATTCAAAAAACAGTGTGTTCAAATATTTTAGCATGGCATTAATGAAAGAATTATTTAATGGAAACCAAAGACTACATACCAGTACTGCAAAATTTTAAAATCAAGTTCAAAATGAAGTTAAAACTACTGAAGCTTTTTTACAGATCAGCACTTACAGACTGCTGGTGGCAGTACAGTTAGTATTAAATATTTATCAGTATCTGTCAAATGCTCAAATTCTTTGAGTTGAGCAGTTTCACTTGTATGAGTTTCTCTCACTCACTGGGAAACAGGTGAAATAAACTATTGGATGAAAAAAGTAGGTCTATGCCACCAAGTAAGATAGCCATTAATAAAGTGACCTCTAAGTTGTTGTTACTAAAGTTGTTTGTATAATTTGAAACAAAAGCAGTATTTCACCGCCCATAAACCCAGTTTCTTAGACAATTTGCATACCTTGTACTTATCCACAATTGGAAGCCTGATTGGTCCATCAACTGATCTATTGAAGTTTGGCAAATTATCCAGATATGGAATAAATGGTAATCCACTAAGAATATAACAATATTAAAGAGTCAACATAAATATCAAAACATTAAGTGACATAACTACAAAAAACTGTAGCCATAACAGTATTTTCATTCTACACAGGTAACAGTCCCATCAATTTATTAATCTTGTTTACTTCTATTCCACAGAAAACTAAAAAATGAAAATTATACTATAATGGACCTTTATTTCCTTATAAATTCACTGTCTTAGAAAAGGATTTTATAGCAAATAGCCCACACATTGTAATAAAATGACTGTGCTTTACTTAATTTTTATAGGCTTTCCAGTTTGGAAATTAGGACACAATAAAATTTCCCCTTTCAAGCTACAGTATATAGATTAGGAGATGTTTCTCAAATACCAATGTATCCCAAATTGACTGTAGATCCAATGCAATCTCTATTAATACCCCAACTGCCTTATTCACAAAAATGGAGAAAATGATCCTAATGTTAGATAGAATTTTAAGGGACCCTGAACAGCCAAACAACGCTGGGGTAAAAGAGGTGGGGGACCAACCAAGAAAATCGAACTTACATCTCACAAGATTTGAAAACTGACAAAGCTATAGCAATCAAGACTTTACCTTACTAAAATATTAATGCCAAATTAAATGCACACTTAAATGTACCTAAAATTGAGAGCTAAGACTCTAACATGCTTAGTAGAAAATAAAAGTCACTTAACTTTTTGTGATTGGACTAGGCCATGTTATCCCAAATAAATGCCAGAAACACAATCAATAGAAAAAAACTTAGACTGGATTTCATCAAATTATGGCCTTTTGTATTTTAAGGAGCCTCAACAACTATGAATAGAAGGAAATACTTGCACATTTCGTATTTGATAAGGGACTGTTATCCAGTATATAAAGCATTCTTACAACTCAAAAAAGACAACCCAATTTTTAAAATGGGCAAAGGTCCTGCTATTTTTAATGCCGAGTTTACAGTCACTATTAAGATAAACACTTTTTTTAAGGGTAAGAAGGTTATTTACCTGTACCAGGGACAGAAGTCTGACTGCTCTTTAAGGTTTGCTCCCGTCAGGCCTGAGCAGGGCATAAAGTGAATGTCCTTTTTGGGATTGAAGCCAACTTTTTTCAAAAATGGCACAAGTTTTTCTTTACATTCTTCGTATCTATGAACATTTATAATTAATTACAATGTAAAGCAACTGAACTGAATCATCATTAAACAAATTAAGGTTTAAAAAATACACATAGTAACAAAAGCATCATTTATTCCACTAACAAGTCTACTGAAAAAAAAAGTAAAGATAAAACTTACCTCTCATTGCTCCAATTCACAGTTGGATCGTCCATCTTATTGATCAACACAATTAAGTGTTTGACACCTGCCGTCTTTGCCAACATTGCATGTTCTCTTGTCTGTCCTCCTTTCTCAAACCCAGTCTCAAACTCCCCCTTCCTGGCAGAGATAACCTATCCCAAAAAATGAAAGTGTGCTCTTACCTATCCGGGTATACAGCCTTCCAGCAGGTAAAACATTTTTCAGTTTAATCACAAGCTTTTGTAACAGAAGCAAGTGAGAACAGTATACATGGTTTTTGACTGTCACAGACAGTATCTAAATAAATGATTTAAAATTCAGCAAATGTTTCTTTGATTCTCAATCTTTCAAAACACTAGTAGGTCTGTATATTTTCAGTCCAAACATGTTTAGTGCAAGTACACTGACACCTCCAATAATAAAATGAGTGAAGTCCTAAAGAAAACAGATTGCTTACTGGATGCTAAGGTCTGACACAGTTAATAGCAGAAAGATAGAGAAAACCTGAAACACGTCCTAAGTAAATCAAACCCTGAGTATCTCTTTACAGGCGAGTGGGACAACAGTAAAAATTGTGACTATGTTTACTAATAGTTCACATCCTAAATTCAAATTCAAATATTTAAAATGTGACAGCTCTAACAATTACAAGGGTGAATTGGAAATATCTTTTCTTACCAGTACAGCCAGATCAGCTTGAGAAGCACCACCAATCATATTCGGAACAAAACTCTTATGGCCAGGTGCATCTAGAATTGTGAAATGCTTCTTTTCGGTTTCAAAATAGGCACGACCCACTTCTACTGTTTTACCTTTGTCTCGTTCTTCCTGATTTGTGTCTAATGCCCAAGACAGGTACCTGAAATAATTTAAAAACAATATTGATAAGAACATGAGCTTTAAGGTAGTCTGCTATCATTAAAGCTGGTACAACATCCAGTTTATGCCCATCACACAGAATTTAAATCATGATCAGGGTATGAATGTTTTGTATTGCTGGATTTAAGCACTTGGAGCTTTTAGACATGTCCATAGTTAAGTACTTATTCTATGAGTAAACGTTTATGAAAATAAGTGGACAACATAGAAATGCTGCATAGCGCCAATGTGAATGTTAAATAAGTTTCTTTATATTTCACTGTTTTTTTTTTTTTATATATGCATACAAGAACTGGGTTTATTTATATATGCATACAAGAACTGGGGTGTAGGCCATAGGTGCAGGGAGTGAATGGATTCACCACAGACCAAGTGAGAAGTAGAATGAGCAAATATACTTAAATATACTCCTGAGCGGAGCAGCAGGTGAGGTCTGCTGGGCTGGGTGGGTCAGCTCCCTGGCCGGGGATTGAACTCATGCTACAGTGCTGCAATAGCTTCATACTGCTGCAATTTAACCCCTTGCACCACTAGGGAGGCCCCCAATTTTCTTTATGTGAATTATGAAGTCATTCCAACTGGCTTTCTGAGGTGAAGAGAAAATTCCCTTTGTTATGGCATGACACCATGTTAGACCTCAAGACTTGTATTTTAGAAGACTACAAAAGTATAAAAGGGACAGTCTTTTCTAAAATGTAATTTAGTAGCTTAAGAATTTACCAAGTTTCTCTGTTTTTTTCTTTAGCTTCTCTTTCGTATTTCTCAAGTGTCCTTTTGTCAACCATTCCAGTCAAATACCTGAAAATGTTTAAAAATAAACACTCATTCACAAATTGCTCATAGGAAAACCTAAAAATAAAATAAGGAAAATGTTACAGCTCTTGAGAGCAATTTCAACTCCAGAGAACAGCTATTTTTAAGTAAAGATCTCCATGCTAACATCATAGAGTTTCCATAGGAAAGCTAGTTCCCTTAAAGGTGGGGGTATATGTAATTTTATAGCGAAGAATTCTTAGAGACAGCACCTTAACCAAATAATCATGGCTACTATCACCAGTAATAAGTGAAACATAATGATACTGACATCATGTACACCAAGAAGATGCTCTGAGAAGAGCACAACATTCTGTAATATTCTTGCTCAAAATGCATAAACTCAACCTATTAAAAACAGTCAAACCTAAATTCACCCGTAAGTGAAATAAATAGCGTCCATCAAATCACAAACTTCACAAAAGAAAAAGACAAGATTGGAGGAGACTGAGAGATAACTAAATACAATGTGGACGCTAAGTGGACCTCTAGAACTTTCATTGGTGGAAAAACTCATGAAATTCAAACAAGACTAGTTTAAACATATCTACACAATGTTAATGTTAGCTTTTTAATTTTATAATTACATGTGGTTTTATATAGAGACATTTAACATTAGAATAGGCTGAATGAAAGTTATACAGGAACTCTGTTTTTGCAATCTTTCTATAAAGCTAATATTTTAGGATAAAATGTTTTAAGCAAATTAATTCCAACAGTGTTGTCCAGCGAATTAAGTCATTTTACTACACTTCAATTTTTAATAGTTTTAAGTTACTGTCAAAGTGAGATTATAATGTTAAAGTAATTCCCTAGTAGTGCCTGTTTCTTTTGACTCAATCCAAATCAGAGTCCACTGATTCCTCATTTTGATCTCTACCACATGCTTCTAATCTTTTGAGAATAGGTAGAATTCCCGTGAAATGCCAATGAAACTTGCAGCCCATAAACAAAAAGTGTATTCTACAAAAACACAATAGCAAATAAGTTTCCACTTCCATCCAAAGAATTTTAGTTAAGGATCTCACCAATTCTGTTTGAAAAGTAATCGGCAAGATTACCAACTAACATCACAAAATAAGACCACGACATGCCCTCTAGGTCCTCTGATGACACAATTTAACGAAATGATTCTAATTTAGAAGGTATTAAAGTCAGAACCTTTTAATTAAAAAGTTTATAATACTAGAATACATCAACTAAGGCCAACTTGGGGTTTTCATACCTAGATAGCCTCTCAGATATGGTAAAAATTTTCTTAGTATGTCAATAAGGTTATACCAATCTTTGACTAAATCCACAAAATTCAAGAAGTTAACGAGTGAGGAAAACTCAGTTTTCTCCATGCACCAGACACAAGAGGTTTTCATTCCTAATAAAAGTGTACTTAAATCAGACTAAGGTATCCTATCATCTAGGGCTCTATATTCTTTTCTTAAAATAAAAACAAAAACCTAAAGCATTTATTTTTGTTCCATGACTCTTTACGGTGATATTAACCGGGAAGGCCTAAAGAATACAATTCCATTGCAAAAATTACTTAACATCAGCCATCCCCTATAGTTAATGCCATCTTTTTATAATTTCTAACTTGAAAGGCCTGTTTTATAACTTTGTATGAATGTTTACAATGTTGAGATTCAATCACATTAGTTGTTATTTAATAAAAAATAAACTTACATTATCTGTCCTCCAATTGTAGACTTGCCAGCATCTAAAAGTAACAATATAAACAACAGGCAAAACCAGATGTAAAAAAGCAATAGAAACACACTTAAAGGTACTATAGTGTAAACATTCAAGTCTTGCAAAAGTAACAGAAATGAGGGCCCTGTTTAGTTACCTTCTACCTTATAAAATAAAGCTAAGATTCTCTGCAGCTCAACAGTGATATAGAATAACTGATAAAAGTAATTTTTTACCACATTGCTCTCTGATGTTCAGGGAAAAAGGCCCCAAGAAAATAAATGAGCCAAGGGGGCCTGAGAGAAGAAAAGTAGCTACAGAGTTGTGAACTGCACTTAGACTTTCTTTTACTTTCAGCAAATATAGGTAGCCTTCACATATTTTAACCGAATTCTTCCTACTATACAGGTAAAACAGTATAGCATATTCAGTGGAAGGCAAGAGAGCACATAATTTTATTTTCTCCCCACAATTCTGGGAATAAAGCAGATAGTAAGAGAATATCTGACTAAATTAAAGTTGGTCTTGCTTTGTATTTTATACTAAACCAGCAATCTGATAAACACCTAGAAGTTACTCCAAATTACTATTTCTCACATTACACTAATGTAAACCTTCTAAAGTTAACCCCATAAAATTGACAAATTAATTCACACACACAGAGTAGGCACATTTGTAGAGTATTAGTTACATACAAATATACTGAAGCTTATTTCCTTAGTTTTCATGCCATAACAAAACTGTTAATCTGCCCTTCTTTCAAGATTAAAGTGTTTGCAATTTTTGCCAGCTAAAAATATCAAGCAAATTAGAAGTCAAGACGTTTTAGATGAACTCAGGTCAATCTCACTAAACATCTCCAGGAGCTACAGGCGATGCCCTATGTCTGATGGACACACAATGTTGGGGTTTCGTGTCAGGGCTAAGAGCACGGCTTACCTACATGCCCGATGAACACTACATTTACATGTTCTTTTTTAGGAGCACCTGGTGGTGCAACCACAGATTTAGGTTTTGGTATTTCCTCCTCCTCCTCCATCACTTCCTGGGCACCTTCCTCTGGAGGCCTCCCATCTCCCGAGGAACTGCCTCCCGGCTCTGCTTCACTGATTTCGTCTTTGTGCTCCCATGATTCTTCTGGAGACATTTCTGTCTCTCCATTTTCTACTGAAACAAGACACTGTAATTTATTATTTTGAAAAATATTTATAATCTGTATTTAAAACACATTCTCCACTCACATAAATGGATCTTTGCAGATAGCCTGCCATTTCCTAACATCTAGTGACATTTTAGTAAAAAATCTTTTTTAAACAAAAGCAGTGTAGCTTTTCCCTGCTGTTATCAGAGCTGACCCACAGACTACCCAAGATTGCTATTTGAATGGAGCTTCACTTTCATCAGGACAAACAAGATGAACAGGAGATCTAACATTGCTAGCAGCCCAGTTGTTCCAGGGTCAAGCTGCCCTGGCAGAGGTAAAAATAGGGAAAGTTTAAAATCAGAATACAGGAAAAGTATGAAAGCTTTGAGGTCTTTTCTTTTTCTTCACAAGTTATGTATAAAATTTTGGCAGCATTTACTAATCACATGGAAATATGAGTAATAAAGTTACAAAAAGGAAGGAAAATTTTCACAAGGTAAATGGGACAAGTGCAACTGTTTAAGCTTACATCAGCATCTCTCCATTTAATTCTTTATAGATGCTAAATTTATCTTGGTAACACTGATGTCCAGTCAGTCTTCTTTCTAAATCCTAGTTGTACGGACTGTCTGTTTTAAACACAGGCGTTACAATAATCATCACACCTACAATGGCACCTTATTTCTTCAAAGTTTCATATTACTGTATTAATATGGTCAGAAATTTTCTTACCAACAGGCTCTGAAAGTTCCATGCTAACAGCTGAATGTGAACCTAGACAAGAAATTGAGATATAGTACACATGTATAAAACAGTATCTTACACACACACCCTATTTTTACACATCATAACGTTTTCACTTAGATGTTCAAAGAGTCATAACATGGAAAATTACCTTCACACAATAATGACTGTTCTTCTTGAGAAACTTCTCCAGGCGCTGTTTAATAAAAATAAATTCTATTAAAAATTAAGGCTATACATCCATTTTACTTATCTTAAGTAAAAAGCAGCCCAGCATAGATCTAATTAGTAATATTTAGTCAGAGCAAATGCCCAGTGCTTCTCATTCTCTCTTGGTAACTCTAAAGAGGGCTGTGATCCTGTAGTCATGGAGCATCAAGATTTTTAATTAATTATATGTGATACCAATAAAAAAAAAAAAGCATGTTGTATAAAGCCCCGACATGCATATAGGCCTTTAAAAACTCAGGATAGGCCCTCCCTGGTGGCGCCAGCGGATTAAAGCACTGTACTAAGAAGCTCAAGCCACTTCCACATGAGTTTGATCCCCGCCTGCCCCGGAGGTGACCACATGGCGCGGCAGACCTCTCCTGACCGCCCGCTGCTTTGCTCAGCAGTGTACTTCTTGATCTGCCTGTTCTGTTCCCCACTCTGTCCCTGGTGAATTCTCTCACCCTCCGCATCTCTGGCCTGTACCCCAGTTCTGTATGAATAAAATAAATAAATCTTTAAAAAAAAAAAAAACACCTCAGGAGAGGTAATTATAACACCAATTTTGTCCTACACAGGAATTCCAAGCTCAAGAGACAATCCATTTTCCACAGTGGTCACATTGCAAATCCACTTATGACATCACTGGAAGCGATATGAAAATATATACATCAGTCTATTTTCTATATTTGATAAGCCTAAATGATACAATATGAAAGTGTTCTGGCTTCAAAACACATTCAGTAAGATGAAGTCACATGAATCCGACACTGCAGGTAAGAAGGAATAATGGGGGCCCTCCTTGGTGGCGCAGTGGGTGAAAGGGCAGCACTAGGAAGCTAGCCACAGTGCTTCAGGGTTGATCCCCAGCCACGCAGGTGACCTACACAGCATAGCAGTCCTTGCCTGTCTCCCCATTGCTCCCCTCAGCAGTGTACTCTGTCAGTCTACCTGTTCTGCTCCCCACTGTTTCTGATGGATCCTCTTACTGCCTCTGCACCTCTGGCCTGTACCCCACGTCTGTATGCAGGAGAGGTGCAGAGGCAGTAAGAGGATCCATCAAAATCTTTTAAACAAAAACAATGAACTCATAACCTGAAAAAGTCACGCAGGAGATTTGTCTCCCTACTGGAACCCTCAGCAGTATATTTCAGTCTGCCAGTTCTGCTCCCCACCCTATCTTTGGTGAATCCTCTCAGCTACCCCACCTCTGGCCTGCACCCCTGCTCTTGTATGCATAAATAAGATAAATCTTTAAAAACAAAACAAAACACACAGGCAGAGAGACCAAAGTCACTGTCAAGGGGAATGGTCATCAGGACAAATGAGCAGTGCCAGAAAGAGTAAGTAGAGTTAACAGAGCCAACATCTTATAGCAGTAGGAAGAAAGGAAAAGACAACAGTCTAGATGACCACTCTAGTTAATAAGATTTAGTCAGAACAAATAATGCCCAGTATGCCTTAAAGAAAAAAAGCAGAAACCACGCTGGCAGGGAAATCACACATGTCTGTAGTAAAGGACATGCAACGAGTTAAAGTGCAGCACCATGAAGCTCTCCACAGCCACTGCAGTACAAGTTCAATCCCTGGCCAGGGAGCTGACCCACAGGGTGCAGCAGACCTCTCCTGACTACCTGCTGCTCCCCCTCAGCAATGTGCTTCATTGATCTACCTGTTCTGTTCCACACTCTGTCTCTGGGGAATCCTCTCACCCCCGCACCTCTGGTCTGTACCCCAGTTCTATATGCATAAAAATAAATAAACCTTAAAACAAAACAAAACAAAAAAAAACCCCACAGATAAAATACCCATGGTTTTGCCTTTTTTCACCTGACACTCAGGTATCAGGTAAAAAGACATGTCACACATGGAGTATAAAGCTTTTAAAAGTATTTTACATCGGGCCCTCCCTGGTGGCGCAGCGGGTTAAAGCACTGCACTAAGAAACTAAAGCCACTTCAGCATGAGTTCGTTTCCCGCCTGCCCCGGAGGCGACCACATGGTGAGGCAGACCTCTCCTGACCCGCCCACTGCTCCCCTCAGCAGTGTACTTCGTAGATCTGCCTGTTCTGCTCCCGCTCTGGTGAATCCTCTCACCCTCCGCATCTCTGGCCTGTACCCCAGTTCTGTATGAATAAATAAATAAATCTTTAAAAAAAAAAAAGTATTTTACATCAACATTTCTGAAATACAGGAAGCAATTTCATATTCAAGTAGAGCATTGCCTGCTCACACCAATGTCACTGTGCTACTATTGAGGGCATAACAGACCACAAACTCATAGGTCCAGTTTCTGAAAGTGTCTCAACCAAAATGATCTTAGAAAGGACTAGCAAAGGGCCCTCCCTGCTGGCGCACTTTGAAGACGCAGCACTTTGAAGCTATCTGCAGCCACTGCAGCACGAGTTCGATGCCTAGCCAGGGTGTGGCCCACAGGGTGCAGCAGACCACCTGTCTTCCCGCTGCTCCCCTCAGCAGTGGGTTTTGGTAGATCTGCCTGCTCTGACCCCCACTCTGTTTCTGGTGAATCTTCTAACCACCCCCCCATCTCTGGCCTGTACCCCAACTCTTGTATGCATAAATAAACAAATCTTTTTTTAAGATTTGTTTATTTATACAGAATTCTGGGGTACAGGCCAGAGGTGCAGGGGCAGTGAGAGGATTCACCAGAGACAAACTGGGGAGTAGAACAGGCAGATCGACAAAGTACACTGCTGAGGGGAGAGGAAGGCAAGACAGGAGAAGTCTGCTGCACCATGTGGGTCACTTCCAGGGCCAGGGATCCAACTTGCACTGAAACACTGAGGCTCACTTGCAGTGCTGCACGTTAACCCGCTGAGCCACCAAGGAGGGCCAAAATGTACTAGCAGAGTTACTATTAGTAGACAAAACTTTGAAATCTAACCTAGTTAATCATAGGTTAGATTAACAAATAAAATCCTCCATTTATCCACAGATGTCACTGGAATAATTTAGTTTCTCTGAACCTTAACTTTCTATCCTGTAAAAGGGGTCAACACAACCTATACTTTGAGAAATTGTTAGGAAGTCTGAATGATATGGGTGTGTTACATAAGTGGTAGCTGCTCAATAATTTATCACAGCTAGCATTTCAAGACTCCATAATAATTGCAACAACTTTTAAGAATGAAATACTAAAAAGGCAAGTTTCAGAACTATACTCAGAAAAACCCATGCTGGGGTATTTGTCATTAGCTCTCCACATACCTCTTTATTTTTTTCATTAACAGCAAAGTGTGGTGGAAAGAGCCCTAAACTATCAACTGGTAAACTGGGATTCTAGATTTACTAGCTCTGTAAGTGGCCGTTAGGCACTCACTTAGCATCTCTAGGCTTTAGTTTCTTTACTTGAAAATGGGCCTACATTAACTGCCAGGGTAATTTCTAGTCTTAACATTCTAAGAACATGGTTACTCAGTCACTAAAGCAATATCACACATCTTAGACTTCCAGAGAAACTAAAATTCCACTGTTTTACTCCAAACATATTTTTAAAGAGAATTTTATTTACGATTTTATAGCCCAAATAGCAAAACCATTTCAGGCCCCAACTACATACAAATAACAGAAAAATATCTACTGCAACCAAAATAAAAAACCCAAAGCAGATGGCTATTTGGAATACATTAAGCCAATAACAGAAAGCACCACGTGGCCTTCTGAAGCAAGCACTTGTGTTTAATGTGAAGGACACACCTAGCTGGAAAGTGGCTGGGTGTCACCTCTCTCTACTAGAGTAGTGAAATGGACTTAAAAAAAAAAAAATCCTTACTAAGTTTCTCTTACCTAGAAAGTAGATGAACTGGTTTCACCTACTGCAACAGTATAGGGAACTGGGTGAAGTTGGGAGTATGAGATCATCTAAATTCCCTTAGAACAAAACTATTTTGGGGAAAAAAACCACAAATGTATCATTAGCTCAGTCATGCTTTGTTAAAAGTCTATTGAAAACAAGGACAAACCTTTCGGGCAATTTTGATGTGCTTCAACAACTGACAGCTGAAAAAAGAACCTGAAGACTTCAACAACCAAAATATCCTGCCATCTAGAGATTTTTAAGAACAGTAAGTAGAGTGATGATGAAATTATAATGCAAAGACACAATATATAACTAGTCAGAGTTGTAGGAGCCAAACTCACTGATTTTTTTTTTTATGTTTTTGTTTATTTTTAAATGTACCTTTTCCTCACATAGTTCCTAATTTTTGGACAATCTATTGATAGATTTCTCCCCTCAGGTCATGTCACTCATTCTCCCACCACCAAAGCACCCATAGTCCATCACTATTTCCTAATCCCCTCCCATCCTGGATGCCCCCCTTATCTATGGTCAGATTTCAAGATTTGTCTTCTCATTGCTGTTGGGTCGGAAAAAGACTAGTATAGAAAAATAACTAGCACTGTATAGCCAATTCAGTACAACTAAAACACAGAGACACAGCTCTGGTGTCTCTTCTCACCCCTACCCCTCACCCATGGCCTGTACCCCAGTTCCTGGATGCATAAATGAAAGTATTTTTTAACTACAGATACAAAAAGGATGAATCTTGTATATGAATTATGTCTCAATTTGGAAAGATATGCATAAACACTGCAGAAAAGAGATTTATCTTTAGTTTTATGATCGAGGTGAGAAAATTGAATTATTTTACGTAAGGGAACCTATGAGAAAACCCTCCTCTCACCTGTGAAAGCCCTCCACACGCCACTCTGTGCAAGGCACACTTGTGTTGTAGCGTCCTTGAGAGAAAACTGGGTATCTGATCCCTTCTAGGCTCCCTGAGGTCCAGCATTTATTCATATTAGTCTGTCAGTCCCTGCCAGCGCCTACCTAGCCTGGCATCCCGTGGCTCTGCAGGCAGGGAAATGTTTATTAGCTACTACACACACTTAATAAACCCAGAGTCACATATCAAAAAAATTCCATGCTAACATTGCCAAGTTACTCCAAGAGGTTAT